TCGATTGTTGAATGTCTTTATCAATCGATTCTTTCAACTATTTCAATAACAAATGAAATGTTGTCGCCTTTCATGGAAGAAGAATTTTGGTGATTAGAAATACATCCATAAGCGATCGGAAATGTAGAAATTGAACGAAGAAAGATGGACTCTTTGTCTCCGTGCTGCCTCAGTGCACGCCCATTGGCTATCTACTACGAGACCGCTTTACAGTTCACACCCATTGCTCGTTCGGGCATACACACACTTCGCCAAGTACGAACGGACTGACAGTTCACCAGGTGATGGAAGTGGGATTTTCATTTGATAACAGTATAACATTTGAACTGAAACTTCAGTTTAAGGCCCTTAGGCTGAGGCTAAGCCTCACCCTAAGCCTCAGTAATACGCATTTTATACCACACACACAAAATGGTGAACATGCGTTCGCATTGCGCAGGAAGCGAATCGAAATGAAATTTGTGTGACCAACTGCGGGCTTGCCAAATGTCGGGCGTGAATATGTTATTAGTGAATATATCCTAGACCCCCCGCAACATTCAGCATTACTTGCGCATTTTCGTTGCTTATCAATTTCCAATTGATTTGTTCAGAAGTCTACAGATTTGTTTTTCGTGGATGTTCGTCGATGTTCCCATTGTTATACCGTCTGTATCATTTCCACTTTATCTTTTAAACTCGCATGATGTCTGATGCCACCCATCCCTCCTTGATGAGGGCCTTAAACTGAATCACCGTTAATCACCAACATTATTTAGCACTAGTGTCGTTTAAAGGGGGGGGGGGGAGTACTATGACGAGACGTTTTATCCACTACGCCTCGGATGCCAATAGGAGTTGAAAGATGGTGCTTAAGACGTCGGGGACAGCAAAGTACAATCTTAAACCTCGTATTTTGGTGTGAGATGTGCTTAGCTACAGCTGATAGTTTACGAATTGCGGAAACGATCAATTGCCACCAGGGCGCTAATCAGAAACGGCCAACAAAACTGCGAAAATCGGTGATGACCTTCTGTTGTAAGTCAAATGCGGAATTCTGTGTAGATATCTGCTTAAAAAAATAAATTTTGTTCGAGCTGTTGAATAATATAATATATGATGATCATCCAAATGCAGATTTTATTTCAGTGTAATTCACATAAAAACTGTATTATATTTGAATAGAAAATGACTTCATCTCGTCCCCCAACCGAACAAATTGTGAATTTGAATGTCGGTGGTCAACGTTTCGCTACTTCAAGACATACCCTTACATGGATATCAGATTCGTTCTTTACCAGGTAAACATTATTCCGTGGTTTATAAATGTAGATCTCGTTTATTCCTTCAAGCAGCGAAAATCGCGCCCTAAAATTTCCGTGCCAGTTAAGCAACCGTTTTCAAGGGCAACTAATGCCATTTTGTTGACAAGTTTTTCGGAGGCAAATTCGAGATGTAGAGATCTCATGATATTATGTTGTCGCGTGTCGTTAGTGGTTTTCAAGAATTTTGTAGGGCATCGAAAGATAATCAGTTCAGATAAACGTCAAAACGATCATTAAGCTTAAACACAAAAACGGATTTACATTCGTCATGTTTTATAAAATGCGTACGAAAGGGATTATCTTCAAGCTATTATCCCAACTCAAAAATCATTAATCAAGCACATTTGTCATGTACACCGTTTCAAAACAAGTCGTGTGTGCGCACATTAGTCTGTCAAGTGAAATATCTCGAAGTCCATTTTATTATTGTTTTTAAAATATCATGTTCCACCTATGTACTGAATAAAATTCATGGTGTACTCAGTTGTAACAAATCTCATGTTTCAGTTTGCTGAGTGGTCGAATTCCAACAGTTCGCGATGATACAGGAGCGGTAAGTTGTTGAGTTATCATATCGTACCACTTTACAAGATTCTTTTGATGTCATTTTTGATGAGCGCAACTTAATTCAAGTCAGCCGTAAGCCAATTTAAATTTTTATCCATATATAGATCTCTTCATCCCATCTATGATACAGAATTAAATTGATATAAAACCGTATCTGTCATAATCTGCCCGTTTCAGTCAGACTCGCATTGTTAAATCGTTTCAGATATTTATTGACCGTGATCCGTCACTATTTCGAATTATTCTGAATTATTTGAGAACACGACAAGTCGATTTAAGGTTCATCATTGTTGATTCTCTCGATTAAAATAATTGCCTATTTCACTACACCTTTCCGCAACTAACAAACATTAAATGTTATAGTTTCAGTTTTAAACGGTTGAATTTATCAACTGATTTACTGTTGAATGGTGAATAATTTCAGTTGTGCAAGTTTAACAAGTCTAAAACATGAAGCGCAATATTATGGGCTTGGACCATTGATTAAGAGATTAACACTCTGTGAAGAGTTGAATGAATGCGCTTGCGGTGATGTACTTTTCCATGCTTATCTACCACCTCCTTCGCTGCCGATATATGGTATACTGTTGCTTTCATGAGCTCTCCATATTACATCAACTAGTCATCTTGACTCGTGAAAGGGATGGGATGAATCACTATCAGCAGTCTTCAAGCAAGTGGTAGTGTGTTTAGTGAATTTAATCTATATGATTGCAGGGTATTGTGGATCAGGCTCAGGCTCTTCAGTAAGGTCGTCGTGCATATCCCCCAATCAACAGCAACAACAGTGCCCGTCTCCTTCTGTCAATCCAATTCAGAATTCCTCAGATCTTATCCCTCCAAGCCATCGCAATAGCAATGATTTACCTTCCTCATCCGTTCTATCCTATCCATCCAGCAACAATCTTCAAGTCAATGCCTCTCATCAAAACATTGTTGCCGTACAACCAAGGCCTCTTCCGAGCATGGAAGCTAAATTTCAGGTTATTTGCTTTTGTTTCACTTCATTCATTGAAAGTAGTAGCTGATATCTAAAGTTACTTAAAAAGAGATTTATTCAAGGGTTTGTTCATTTAAAATATCTATTTAAACCCAGCTGAAAGACTGTACATTCTTGTCACTGTTTTACACTTCCATGCCCTATTTAGTTCGTATTGTATATTGAAGAGTTGGGGTGTTCTATTCGGTTCATTTCGAGTAACGTTTTTTTCATTCCTTCCGAGATGAAATTGCCTCATCGTTCAATGCAGTATGTTGAATAAATTTTATATATTCGATGAAATACCTTTCAGATGCCTACATTATTGGATTTGCATCCTGCAGTTAATAACAATACAGCTACTAATAACACTAATAATGGTAACAACAATAATAATAATTCAGTGTCATCGTCAGTAATATTGACTGGTGCATCATCACGCTTATCAGATCCAATAAAACAGTCGCCATCTGCTAATAGTAATCACAATAATTCGAATGAAATCGATTACGGTCATGCAACAGCAACAACGAACAAACGTTATCATTTCATATATTCTGATTATTATTGTGTGTTATCACCTCCTTATTCAGTCGAATTGTGCCTATTGATATCTTTTGCAGAACAGCAAAATGAGATGGTCAATGCAAAATTGGAAAAGTGTGGTACGAACGCAGATAAAGGATATCAGTTGAAGGGTCCAAAGACTAATGGTGGAGGCATGACCCACAGTCGAGCAAATAGTGCTGATTTTATGATGGTTCGTTTGATGAATTATCAATTTATTGTTTTATTACATTAAAATTAATGTGGTGATCGGATTGATGTATATATTGCTCTTAAATAAGATTGCCGTGCTTCTGCAAAAGAATTATTTCAATAGTTCAGATGGGTCATAGTGGCTATAGTAGTCCATCACGAAGCGCATTTCAACAAGGACACATGAAGAAGAGTTCCTACGAATTGGCTAGATTGGTATTCCATTTATTAGTCTCTAATTTAAGTTTATGCTCATAAACTGATAAAAAGATTCATTTTTAATTAAGATAAAAAGCGAATTATCAATGATGGTTCCTCGTCATTCCACTTCATCAAAATTACCATTATTTTCATCAGAACAATCTCAAATCCAGAGTGATTATTATCATCCCCTTCGAGTTCGTTGCATTCGTGCACACCATAACTCAATCGCTGTTGGTTATGCGAACTTTGTTTGTTGTTATAGGTTTCTTATTATTATTATTATTATTATTATTATTATTATTGTCGTTATTATTTCTGTTATTATTATTGACATTATTATTGTAACCATTCATTCAGCCTACAGGTTCGGTTAATCTGTTTTATATGACATGAAATTTTGTGATAAAACTAGGAATAGAGTGTGACTGATGAAAGAATGAAGAGGAGTTCATACTTGGTCGGTTGATGTTTTTCGAGCGATTGAATCGAAACGAATCATGTTCAGAATGAAAGAGGAGAGTCTCGGCTGGCAGTCAGTCTATACATCTCCACGCTTAGAGGCAACTGTTCGTCATATTGCACTGAATACCAAGTTTGGTGCGCAAAATACCGATAAAATGTTAGCGATAGCTTTAGCGAACAATTCTATTCATTTATGGAATATTTCGGACACAAATACACCGCAAGGCACTAAAATAGGTCAGTTGATCTCCTCTGTTTATATTCTTGTGCCTCTGAGATTTCATTATTCATTTGCAATTACATATTTTGCATATTGATTTGCTATGTAAATCTTCGTAACAAATAGTAATGATTAATATATCAGTCAGATTAACATTCCCCTGAATATATTATAATTGCTTGAACGATCAGTTCAGTTACTATCAGGGTTATAATAATAATTATTATTATCATTATTACTGTGATTATTACCCGTATTGTTGCTTTCATTATTCTTTTTATTTCGTGTCAGTTGACTGCGGAATGAACTTCAAAGGTCATAATTCTGTTACGAGGAATATTCTTCCAGGAACTTTTTCGTTATGTGTTGCCGTTGATAAGTTATTTTTCATTGGTAGTCAGTTGGTGGCTTTAAGCAAGCTTGGAAAGGTGGGTATTTGGCATTCGATGACACATAACTGGCAAGTCCAAGGTGGAGTGCTTTGATTTATTCGTTATTGTCATTGTTGGTATTACTTATTCAGTGATGTCAGTTTTCAGATGTGCTTTCAATATCGTGTTATGATACAGCTGGTTCGTTCTTGTTATTAGGATGTACAAATGGATCAATTTATTATATTGATATGCAGAAATTTCCTCTTCGAATGAAAGATAACGATTTATTAATTACCGAGTTATATCGTGACCCTAATGGTGACCTTATTACTGCTATCAGTGTGTATTTAACACCGAAAACAAGTTGGTTTCAATAGATCAACTCATTTACGTTCAAAATCACGATATTGTTACGAGATTCGTGTAATGAGAATTGGGTGAACAAATATTTTTCAGTTTGTTATCTCCACAATGATTTTATAGACATGTAATATCGGAATGATCTGTTGATGGTTATGTATTATTATTTTTGTTATTAGTCTCAATTGCCCTTATAATGTTAATTAAGATATCTGCGGTAATTGGATTGAAATAGCGTATGGAACGTCAAGTGGTATTGTGAGGGTAATAGTGCAGCATCCTGAAACTGTGGGTCATGGACCACAGCTATTTCAAACATATACAGTTCACACTTCACCCATCACTAGAGTTGCTTTGACTACTAATCATTTAATTAGTGGTTTGATTTTACTTATTTGTTTGTTGTTTTCAGTCATAATGCATTTTGATGACTTTCTTGTGCATTGCAAGTGTAATAAGCACTAGTACATATTCAGTGTGCAGTGAATATAATCATGTCCGATCGTGGGGTGTTACAAGATTTCGAGGAATGATATCGACGCAACCTGGAAGCACTTCACTGGCGTCTTTCAAAGTGCTAACTTTGGATAGTACTGATGATATAACTGATGGAGATTGCACCGATCCAGGTTTGTACTCTATAAACGAGTGAGAATTGAACGATATCACAACTTCTTTTAAGGACCATTCGGAGATCAAGACGGCGAACAAATTTTTGTACAACGTGTTATTCCAGAAACCAATCAAATATTCGTTCGTTTGGCTTCAAACGGTGATAGGTAGGAATGTTTGTTCAGATCTGATTTATTTGTTCATCATTATCCCCAGTTGAGGGAACACGCAAGTAGCATACACAACAATGGCTTTTAATTGTATTTGAAAGTTCTGCATGGGAATGGACCAAAATTAAAATCATAGCTATGAGGCGGTGAGATAATTTCTTACAGTTGTTTTTCTCTTCTTCAGGTTATTACCGTTTTCAGTATAGAAGTTTATTGATCAATTTGTTATTGAAGACTTTGCACAATTCGCTCAGTGGATGGTTCAGCAATAACTGCATTCTTGGTACATGAATGTGACGGCTCGAATCGGATGGGTTCCAGACCGAGACGATATTTATTCACAGGAACTGCAAATGGTACTATTCAGGCTAGTGATATTTTCAAATCATGAACGTACAGTCGCATAACTGATGAAATCTGAAGATATTTTGAAGTGTGAACAAACAGAATTGAGGAATGTGCCTAACTCTCTAAATTTGAAGATGTGGGATTTGACAACAGCCTTGGATCAGTATCACTGTCGGACTAATACCATGCTAAACAGTTCAATAAATCCTCAGTCCACGCAACTCGATAAAAGTGCAGCCGCAGCAGCATCCACAAGTGGTTTAATGAGTAATCCTAGCACAACAACCACTCCATCGGCTGTAGGTGCCTGGTTGGGTGGTAGTTCTCGACCGACCGGTTCACTTCTTCAGGTTACAAATATATGTCATTGATGAGCATGAATACATCTAGGGATTTGTTTACTCATTCATTTTATTCACCTATTTATTTGATGTTTAGTCATGATTTATTGAAGGGACCAACGCCAGATGAATTGCTTCAGTTGATTGACGAATGCGAAATATGTTGTGCAAGTTTGAACTCAACACCAACAATCACACCACACTCCTCGACGATACACCTTTCTGAACTTGATTCCCTCTCCAATCAAAGATAGATGACGACGAGTCGGAATGATGACTGTCGAATGATCACCGTCATCTGACTGCTTGATCAATCTGTTCGTGTTCTTTGAGAACCTATCACAGCTATTGATTTGCTTTTATTTTCATTTGTTCTACTGAGTTATTACTGGAATTATTTGAGTTGAATAAAACTGATTTCAAGTATAGATATTCAATGTCAAGGATCTATCGTCTTCAGTCAGTTCTTTTTTTATTCGTATCTCTTTGAACAAAGTTAATAACCATAATAATAATTATAATAATCTATTTTGTGAAGAATTCTGTGATATTTTATTTGACGATTCTTAAAATGAGTCTTCTCATTAAAGTTTGTATCGATATAATTATTTTCGACGTGAATTCATTGTGCGTTGGCGTTCGTTCGATATCGTATTAGCATTATCGGTGATACCCGACGAGCAGTGTGTTCAGTCAGTACGTTGTATTGTGATTATTGTATCGTATTTATTTGTGCTTTTGAATTCGTATTCGTCAAGAAACGAATAAATAAGTTGATGCCGAATTCTGTTATCTTTTTTTAAATCGTAATTTTCATTGTTATTGCCTCAGTTATAATATTTTCCAATAACAGTTTAGATTATGCCTCTAAATCTGATCTATTCTCAGCAGCAACGGTTTCTTAATACTTTTACATTTGATTTTCCCATTGGCTCATAACCCTCTCACTCACAAAGGAGGTTCAATTAGTTGCTATAATCAGTTGGAATGACACGAATGCCGTTCGGTCGTACATGAAAAGTTATGGTAGAGGCATTTTTACTATCAACTTATATAATGGGTTAAAGAGCGCAAAAGTGGTAATAAATAAAGTGTATGAGGCTAGCTGGGTTCGAAGAAATAATGGAAGGTATAAAACAGAACTCGTATCCGTGCTTCGCAAACTTTAGTTTTGATGATGAAACATTTCGTGTTGTGAAGTTAAATCATTTCATGAGGGGAAGTTCATACGAAGAAGGATTCTGAATGCAAAGTTTTTTCTTGGCATAAGTTTGCAATAACACACTCGAAACAAAGTTATTAACGGCTTGGGCGAATTATGCCGTTTCACACTTTTTCTTTACATTCATCAGAAATGACAAGCTGGGTAGATGTCAGAAAGGTATTTTGAATGATATTGAACAGTAGGGTTCAGTGGAAAATCAGTCCGCAATTTTCTAAATCTTTCTCAAGCAATCCACATGTCTAATTCAGTCAAATAGCGTTCTGAATGATAGCATCAACTCAGGAATTGTGGAATGGCGAACGGCAACCGTGTTAGCGGTTCTTTGGATTTCAATCCATATGAAGTATTGGGTGTTGATGAAAAAAGCACAGATGCTGAAATTGTGAAAGCGTTTCGGAAGGCTGCACTCAAGTGGCATCCTGACAAGAACCCAGATCGAAAACAGCAGGGTTTGTTCGTTATTATTCGAATAAAATCTTTCTTAATTCAAGCAACTTGTGTGATATGGTAAAATACTTGACAACTCTTCCAAGAGATTAAATTCTACTTCAGTGAAGTTTTATCATTTGTAATCCTGAATTTCAGCTGAAGATATGTTCTTGAAGATTTCTCGAGCTCTTGAACTGCTAACAGATGCCGCAGCCCGGGCTGCTTATGATGGTGTTTGTGCCGCGAGAACGGCACGTAAAATCTTTGTTCAGCGGAGAGAACAGAGAGAAACCGAGAACCGACGGAGACTGAGGGAAGAGTTGGAAAGGCGTGAAGCTCAAGCGTTCTCGTCGCAACAAGATGAAAAGCTTGCCGAGGCAAAATTACAAAAGGAGGTTGGTATCTTCGAAAGAAAATTATTTTTTCATAAGGCCTCTTTATTATTTCATTTAATTTTTTATGCGTATCATTTACACTATATCTGTTGTTTTATATTGGAAGTTGTTGATTCACCATCAAGAAACACTTAATTCAAATGTTACTCTAACTAAATTGGAGCTGTTTTTTGCAGATATGAACGTCAAAAATTCGTCTTTGAATCACTTAGTTTTCATATATTCTTATTCAGGTTGAACGATTGAGAAAAGAAGGGTCGGATATGCTGCGTCGTGAACGTGAGAATATTGAGAGAGAATTACGTCGAAAGCGAGATGCTTTTGTAGCTGCCAAGGCATCGAGCTCTGCGCAGTGTTCGTCGTTTACTTATGTATACATTTATTGGTTCAGTTGTTTATTTAGATATTTGTTTATTCAATGGAATTGAAAAACTTTCATTTTACTGGATGACTTTAAACTTATTCATTCTGAGTGTTCATTTCTGTTTGATTTTTTGGAAATTTGAACGAAGAACACTTTTTGGATATGCAATATTTTCATAATATATGATATTTTGTCATTCACAGTCAAAGGAATGGATGCTGAGGCACGTTTGCGGTTGAAGTGGAAACGAGGCCGAAATAACTGCGATTATGATGAAAAGAAGTTGAGAAACATTTTTGAGAAGGTTTTGTTTTCTTTTTTTTTTTGAATTTAGTTTACCAGAATGCCCAGATTCTATATTTTTGATCGACAGAAGTGGCATCTTGCAGTGAACTGTTCGTCCATCACATATTCGTTCCTTTTCGCACTGAAGAAAATCTAAAAAGTTTCCAATTATGCTGAAGGTTTGTTTCGTGACTTTCTTCAACGAGTCAATTTTTCAGTATGGACAAATATCGGCTCTTGTAATGTCATCATCAGGAAAAGGTTCAGCAATAATCGAATTCGCTGATGCCAAACACGGTGTATGTTTACAATTTGTTCAGTATTATGTTGCTTTTACATTCACCTGTCATTCAATTTTTCAAATGATTCCCAGAACTGGTTGTGAGAGTCGACATATTCAAGCAAAAGTACGCATGAAATGACATGACTTTCAAGTTGAAATTTCATTTCAGTGTGAACTGGGCGTATAATTTTCCTCAAGTTTTTACTTGTTTAGTCGTGAATGCATCGTTAGTTCGTCGATGTTCCCATAAAAATAGGTTGATTTCTGTTCAAAAACTGTTGGGAATGGTTGAAATACCTTGTTTTGTTTCAGTTAGATGCAGAGAATGAAACAGGAGACTTGGATAATCCCTTACGGATATCGTGGATTTCTGAAAAACCTGATCCAGAAACTTGTATAAGCTCGTTAAATTTCGAAGAGAAAAGTACTAGCACCTCGAATGTGTCATCTAATCTACACAATAGCGGTAATATTATCCTTCTCGGAAACTATTATCTCGATTGCAGGCATTTTTTTGTTTAGAACTTCTGTACTATGATTGATTATGCGTTTATGATGAAAAGCTCTGTGTCAAAGAAGGATTGACCATTAGGAATTGCGATAAACGGATAATTAGTTACAAGCCGAATCGTAGCCTGGCTTGGGCTCGGCAACATTGATGACATTGGTACACCACTCGGTTTCCAACAGAACTTTTCTTCATCAACGAGAATCGGGCCCATGGCGTACCAATTACCGATCAGGGCTCCACCTCTGAGCTATCGACTTCTGTTCGCGGGAAAAGTTTTGCTTAAAATCAAATGGTGTAATAATGTCATTAGGAATTGAATTATAATTATGCTGTTTCAGATTTGAATTTAGCAAAGAGTTCATCCCAGTTTGCCGATTTCGAAGCAGAAATATTAGCAAAAATGACGAACACGAGTGGTATTGCAAAGAAGCAAACATCAGCTGATGGATCAGCGAGTAAATTCGATGACATTTAGATTCATGTGTTCAGAATTGTTGATTCTTCATGAAACAAACCGTCCAGGGGCTGAACACTCCGAGCTTGTTTTGGAAAATCTAAAAACCGATGGAATTTTATTCAGATGGTCCCGGGTTTGTTTCTGTTCCTAACTTTCCGATTCAACTGAAACGTTGGGAAGGGTAAATCTTTTCGAATTTGGAATATCGATTATTTGATTTTTTTCTGGCGAACTTTGTAGTTATTTACTGAGAGGCAAAGCACCTGTAGAAAAGTGAAAGTCGAGAGAATAATCATCGTACATCGGTTTTAATCGAATTGTCATTTTATTTGTACATTTATTTGTTTATCCTATCTGCTGAAAATGTTATCCATTGTTGGTTAATGATAAAACTGTATCGAATGTGATAAATGTGTCATTTTTGTTCTTCGCGAAGCAATACGTTAAAAAATTGTATACCAAGGAGAGTTCTTTATAACGGTGGTTCTCAAGGTGTCACACTTTGTACCCCGTTCAGGCGCTATGACAGATCTCTATTTTTGCTCCTTTGCAACAGTTTAGATGACCGACATTACTCTTTCCTTTCCGAATCTTCACTGCTTACAAAATGACATATCATAAGAAAAGCTGAACAAGATATGAAACCTTCCTCACGAATTCAACAGTGCTGGGTTTTGGTCAGAACAGTTGCAAAGCCAATTCAGCAACCCAATTTTCGAAGATACTCTAAACAAAGTCTATAAGGGAGAGGAATCGGCAAATTGTGACGAGATGAAGGTGAAAGGAAAAGCATCCAGAGTTCACTTCTATTCTCCTTAACCGAAAGTTCACTTCACTTTTATTCTTAACCCAGCGCCATCCATACCTGTTCAGCCATATCATCAGGCTGCATATCTCATTAGAACGCCTCATTAGTTCAGGCTCAGTTACTCGCTTCAGCGAGGTCACTCGCAGAAAATAAGAGCGCACTCGTAATCAGCATAACGAACCCGACAGTTTGATCTGGCTTTCGGTCCGACTTCTCTCGTTAAAACATAACTTCCTCAAAATCACCTTCGGCGCTTTGTTGAGCCTGGCCGAAATTTTCAGGGTGCATTAAGTCTAGCATAACTTCAATTTTCCAGATTATATGAATCAATTCATAATTATGGTATGACGGGAATATAGAAATGATTCAAAATCAAGTGAGTCACATTTCGTTTGTTTACTCTGCACTGTTTAATTCTTGGAAGCGACTTTTTATAATCATTTGGGGTTCGTTTCATTTTCACACCATTTTTTGGAATTTGGTTTGGATTTGGCAGTGTTGGCCTCGGACTCCAATCGTATTGATGTTACTCATCTAAAACAATCTCCACAATATTTTGTTGATGGAAAATGAGATACAATAAGCAATTCTGTTATGCTGCCTACCTGTATGCATTTGAACACTTTCTTCATTAACCCATACCCAGTCTGACAATGATCCTGAAAGCTCCGTAATTGTTTCAATTCAAATGTGTGATTAAAGACTGTGAACCTTGACGAAATCATTATCAAGCTAGTGTCCAAGTTCTATGCTTAGTCTCTGAAAGCAATATTTGCGATTGATGTGATATTACTGAACCACATTCAACACATACTCAACATATCTTGAAATAAATCAAGTCACTATGGCAACTGAAATTGCAGCGTGTGCGAGTAAACCGTTTGTATGCAATTATGTTCATAGTTAGTCAGTCGTATTGCCCATATAACAGCATTTGTAGTTTAATGATTCTAGTCACTGCATCTTGGAAAAGGCTTGGGAAAGACATTGGCACATGAATTGCAAAGAGTGTTTTTTCTGTTGTATTTTCATCCGATGAAATGTAATTGTATTCTGTCTCCCCAAAAGAAAATCTGTGCAGGTCATTGTATTCAATAGCATGTACAGCGTTCAACTATGAATATATTAATTCCTAATCTTCTCAATTTGTAGAATTTCACAAATACCAATTTTCATCAGTTAATTGAATTTTGTGAAAACGTGAACGAAGATATTTAAGAATCGAATGTACAGAGAAAGTGAAAAATTGATCGTTGAGGGTAATGGAAGAAGCAATCAATGAGTTCATTGCTGGAAATGGCATTCGTTTACTTGATTTTCTTGTTGATACCGTGAACTCGAATTGTGATGCTGACGTGGAAATCTGTTTCAAAAGGTGCCTTATCTGATTTGTAGTTACGTCTTTCAAATTTATATGCATCACTTTGAAGTTGAAATGATTTTTTCGGAAATGCTTTGAATCAGTAGCCATCAATAGTACTTACGAATGGAGCTCGGGGAATATTTCTGCAGCTCTTCCCTAGCACTTAAAAGTGTGATGTAACAAGGTTAAATAGTTGGATGCGGTTATTAAACTGAATGATAATGCAATTTAGCGTTTATAAGAGAAACTATATTCCTTTATTGGAAGCATCAACAAATCCGAGAAATGCCAATGCAAATCTTATTAGCAGACAAATATCTCGTGCAGCCGTTCACATCTCAAAATGTGCTAGATTCAAACGTCTTAAACAAGAGATTCTCCTCAGAATTCGCAAATCCACACGATTTCGTTACGACAGCTTTGGAACGGTAAGTTGCTTATTGTTCTCTGCTTTAATTAAATTTTTTGAACGCCAAACGAATGGATACGTTAAAAATTGATATAAATGCTCAGCGTAAGAGAATTTTCCACATTCCTACTTGGTTTGCTAAGGTTTTTCAACTGATGATCTTGCTAACAGAATTTGATCACTTCCTTTTTTAAATTTTCAATTGCGTGACATAATGCGATTTTTAAGGGTTTGCGCTATGACATGAATTAATCGTGAAACAGTGTGAACGAATCCATGCTTCTATTTCACTTTCATTCAGGATTATTCTGAAAATTCATTTGCTGGAACTTCAACGCTCGGCTTAGATTTGGAACAGAGTACACGATTTCCAGAGGATGTGGATACAAACACATTGGTCCAACGATTGGAAAATGCTGAATTATCCAGCGAGATGAGGTTTGTGAAAACAAATTCTGTATTACCCAAATCATAGTCTACAAGTTGGAGAATCAAAGATGGAAAAAATGATTTCAACTATTATGAAGAGTAATGGTTTTCCGTTACTCACTTAAATTGTTAGATCTTGATGCACAGTTAAAAACCACTGATGAACATTTAACGATTCAGTTTCACGCCAACTGGCGAATTACAACTATATGATGAAACTGTTGACTCGAATTTGTAGGTTCTCAATGAGGTCAAAGCAGACTGTTATCGCAAAAATGACTCCATAGATACTTCAGTTTTTCAATGAATTTTCAGAAAAATCCCTTCTATTTAACTCATTCATTCTCAAATACCGTTTTATCTTCTCGCTGACTTTTTTTCAGAGCTGATTTACTAAGTTCTCTCATGTCTCTATCAGCATCGACTATCGGTAGAAGAAAATACTTGACAAGAATATTGCGAATATGTGAGGTGACTGTAATGGTGAGACTTTTAACCTGTCATTCAAATGCTTTCTCAGCGAATAATTCAGCCCGAAATTGCCTTTGTTATGAAAAATTAACTTGAATACCGTATGAGAAAACATGGAATCGTTGAGGTTGATGACGAAAAAGGATTTGCTCATGTAAGAAATGGACTTGCTCATTTGCGCCCTTTTCTAGATGAACCGACGTAGTGCTCAAATAGAGCCAAATTTTATCCAAGTCCAAGATCTCTCATTTGAAGATCACTATCTGCGTCCATTATCGTATCTCTCTTTTGTTGTATCTTGTCTCATTGCCTCTCCCACGTGTGCCATATCGTCTTCTCATTATACGTGTACTCAGATGCAACAGTTCCCTCATCACTTTGCTATGCATATTTAAGGTAATGTTCAGTAATAGCCGTGAATGACACTGTTATAAAACTTATGAGCTCAAGACTGATTTATGATTTTTATGGGGTCTTTGGTTTTAAATTATTGTTTGTTCAGGCAAGAGTAAGCGAAATTTGCTATGAAATACAAATTAATGAAGAAATCAATTACTGTCTTCATTTAGTTCAAAATTAGTGAAATATTCTTTTCGATTTCTTGTAAATATGGTAGGTGTAATGAATTGTTTTGAGGAAGAAGCTTCTTTCACGAATACGCTGTTATTATTCAAAAAGTTATTCAATACAAAAGACTGCGATATTGTCACTGATGTGTTTTGCTGTTTTGTTGCGATACTCCCCAATTTGCTTCAGTCATCACTCAACGAAAATATCAAATTGAAATCGGTTATTCTACTCTACAAGGTGAACTTCTTTCGTTCTTCTAACTGCACGCATATTTAAGAGTTGTGTTGAAGCTCGAGCCTTATGATGCACATCGAAACGCACATCCTTTGTAGTTGAAGTGTAAATTCATTGAATGCTCATTCAGATGATGTGTCTGTGCCCATCTTTATGGTCACGTTTTAACTTCATAGCCATGTCAAAGATGATCACATCTCTCATCACTTATATTGGAAGTGTGGATACTGGGCATTTAAGTGCTTGCAATCCGATGGCGATACTCGCTGCTCTTGATCCATGCGCTAGCTGGATGCGAATTTGGGCTCATACATTATCTGCAAGAATCGTCATAAGAAAATCATTGCTAAATTTTGCCGAAAGAATCAAAACATTTCTGCACGAACAAGCATCAGTTAGTGTTTTTGCTGGCTTATTGCAGTAACATTTATGCAAAAAAATCATCGTATATACTTGAAAAAAATCGTTCAGGTTGATTTAAGCAGCTATAAATGTGTTTTTCTGCACTACTCACCAAAAGAATTATTTGTTCTGCTGAACACAAATGTGATATCGATGTTGTTCATATGGATGAAATACGATGATCTTTATACGGTATTCACTGATCAAGAATGGATTAAACTTGTTCAAGTAGTAGTTGCGAATCAGTTCGATCCTCGTAACAACATATCGTCAAATAAAACAATAATCAAATTATTCTATGAGATCACTGCATGCAATCGACCTGCTCAATTCATTTTAACGCCGACAATCGCTCGTTTTCTCAGTAACGTTCATTCCGTTCCTGCAATGCGCATCCAGCGAATCGCTCTTCAAACTATAAGATATCAACCGCATTCAACAACAATTGCATTAATTTGTAAGCAAATCCCTCGATTTCTATGCAGTTCGTCGAAAACGAAACGTTATGAAGCAATTCTATGTATAGATTCCATGATAAAACGATTTGGTTGGGATATTGTTGAAAGTGAAATTGACTGGGAATTGTTCAGTACGCGAGCAGTTGAACATCATCAAAACCGATGCCTAAAGGAGGTCGTTGAGCGCATTCGTGCATTTCACGACTTATATGTTGGGGAGTCAATAAGAGCGCTGTTCAGGAATGAATTGACAAGAAACAGCACGTTTTCAATTCCGCCACATTTCATTCAAATTAAGAACGAAGAACGACGTTTACTTCTGAAGAAAATAATGCAGTTATTTGAAGACAATTCAGAAGAATTCGTTGAATACGAACAACAAACCAAATTGAAGCTGTCGGCGCACATTGCTGCCCTATTATGGCAAAAACAAACTGGCATTGAAATTGTGAACGAGTTAGATTGGAGTTTTATTCTGCAGAAAACGATTCAAAAAGCTTATGAGCTTAATGATAGCTCTATGCTGAATGCGCTTCATATATTCACATTCAATCTTGATATCGCTATGCAACTAAGAGAGCGCGCAAAATTTCTCAGAAAATTATTTCAGGTGAGGAATATTTTTCCTTCCTCAGTTTACTTATGTGTGCAATACTCTTAATTTTGTACTCTGAGTGAATCATAATAAAACACTGCTCGATAGTGTCGTGATAGTTTGTTGTAATTGGACAAGTGAATATATTTTTGCAGTGGATCAGATGAGAATCCACAACGGAGCATACTGATTAATTTTATCAGTAAATCAAAATGACATCTTCAATGTTCACCAGCCAGGTAGCAATCTTTCGATGCAATATAAGATCTAAACAATGCCTGTGTTTATTTTAAAGTGATACTTGAATGCAGTAGCTGTTTCATTCGCGCGTAATTGCTGAATTAATTGCTCAGGCGATCGTACGTTGGAAGAGCAAGCAGATTGGTGTGTACTTCGACGCAGTTTCTATGAAAACACTCAGTTTATTTGCAAGCATTATAATCGGAGGTCCATCCGAGATTATTATAAATTCGTCTCTGACCTCAACACCAATCAAAAATCCGCGGTCGATCATTAAAATGATGTACGCTGATTATTGCACTACTGCAAATGACAAGGTTTGCATTCAATTAGAATATATCCAACATCCCGTCGATGATTTATTTGTCAATTAACGTGAACGCATTATTGGGACAGTGATGAGTATTTTCATGCTATGCAATATAGCACTAGTTGGTCGGAACGCTAAGAAGGTGCACATTAGGATGATGCAGCTAGGCGCTAACTCTGTTGCTTGAAACTGTCGCATTCACAGTCGAATTGCAATGTTTTTGTTTCAGATTAACACATTTGTTTGAGAGGACTTGTTTTTTGTCAACATAAATGAATCATTTTTGTCTTGTTTGGCAAAAATCGGAGGAAAAAAACCAACAACGAGGAATAGCACCCGGCGACAATAAGCAGCACCCCATGGTACAGTGAAAAGTTCGAGCAGCTCGGGATGTGTTTCAAATGCTGCAAAATTTTGAATGGAGTTTTTCCATAGAGTTATGAATCATTTCACCGTGTGCATCAAAGGTTGTGAAAAACATTGGAAAGTTGAACAGAAAACGGAACGCTTACTTTATTGCTAGAGTTAACACGTTGCGCAATATTTTTGGCTGAAATATTGCATGGAGTGGTTTTCAACCAACATGAACCAGAATCGAGCGGTATTTCAAAAATCAGCGAAAAAAGCTCTGTGCCACCATTGCATCACATTGAAGATAGTATAAATAAGGTGGTTACTAAACCTCTTTGTTGTTCACTTATTTGAGGATGCTCGTCGTGTTTCAGTTACACTATTTTAAGCTTTGCTCTCAATTGATCAGTCGATGCGCAACTGATAAATCACACAATCGATTCACTAGTATCGGATATTGGGTGATTATATGATGATAAGTATACTAGTATTATATGTATTGCAGTTCGCTTTCAGGAAGGAATACCAATCAGATCAGTGAATGAGGTGGTTAATATTATGGAGAGGGACGGTTCTTATTGTGCGTCCGAGATGCTCACTTTTCTTGCAAGCACTGTGACGGTTGATGACGGGACTCTAATGGCACGAAACTGCAACGTATCTGATTCTCAAGATGAATCTGAAATGGTCTATTGACTTATGATTCCTTGTTTTAAACGCTGTTCAAGTAATTTTAACTTTTTGGCACAAAATCAGTGTTTAAAAAATTCAACGAATCCGCCTGAATATTGAACATTTTTAAGCCTTTAGCTGACATTTTCTCTACGTGATTATTCGCTACTAAATCATATAATACTTGTAAAAGTGTAGAAGAACTTTGGATACTTTTGCTGTTGATGGGCGCCACCGCTCCATCACAGATGCTCGTGTGATCATTAGGGTTTGCAAAATCCTGACGTCTTTTGAATCAAAGGATCAGGATATAATCCCGGGATCGAAAATCGATCCCGGGATTATCCCGAGACCGAAGACTTTTGAAATATCGATGCGTGGCATGTTTTAACACAGCTTTTTGAACCAATATGATCATAACTAATCAGGGAAGGGTTTATTCAAGAAAATATTTAGCAAATTATTCAAATTCAAATCAACATACGCAACAGTTAATGCTCGTATTACTGAACAAATTATTCAATGACGTCAAACATATAATTCAGTGCATTTATTCAACGATCATTCAACAATTATTATTCGACATATAATTCAGTGCTGTTTTAAACAAGCTCTGAGAGATAACAGTTCTCTCGTTCATTCGCGTTTTTAGTTTTGAGAAAAATGGGAAAACGTTGAGAAAGCGCGCTCGCTTTCGACTCTCGTTTTGCTGGGATCGTTTTGATAGACTCGTCATATTCGATGCCATTTCCTTTGTCTCTTCGTAAAATTGTTAATTTACTTATAGGGTGATGAGACAACAGCTCAACAATGCACTGCTCTATTAGACTATGCAATTCATTTGAAAGTGATTACAAATCGCAAATATGCTCGTGAATTGTTAGCACAATTGCGCATTCCGTATGCGAAGAAATACGACGAATACGATTGGTTCTTGAATGTGATTTTTTTGATGCTTAAAATGGATGTTAAATTGACGAATTTCGTGTGTGCTCGTCTGATGCATCACAAATATGCAGCTTTATTTTGGCCGAATGCAAACGTTCGATATGCTGATTATGTCGAAAATTATACATTCGTTATTGTTCAAGAACTGCTCAAAACCGAAACGCTGAAGTGCTTAAAAGTAATCTTCGATCGTGAACATATTTCACTGTATCATTTACTATTGTTGTTCTCAAACCAACTCTACTTGAACGTACTGAATTGGCCACAGATTTGTCGGTACGTTATTCTATCAATCGCTGAGGGACCTGGCTTTCAGGTACAACTATAACTTAACTTTTAGCTGTCATCATACGCTTAGATTGCTTGAACGTTTCTGAGCATGCAATCGTTTAATTGCACTATTTTTGATGCGTATTTCTTTCATATGTTTATATGATCAATCACCTCAGTGGTTCGAAGGTGAAATAGTGAATAATGATTATCTGCAAAATTAAAAGCTATTGTTTTTAGATGGTTGTGATGTGTTGATACTTGAATTATAGGCACGTCATTTTTGTGCGATATTACTGCATGTTGAAGAGCAGTTGCGACATCATAGTAGCAGAGATAATCTGTTGATGTTGCTCGTTAATCTGAAACAGTTTGCATCATTTTCATTCTCAAATTATGCAGCTCTTATGGATAAACTTTATAAAGAAGCCTATTCGCAGTCGAACTTTTAAGAAGCAGCAACAACTCAATGAACTAGTTCGAGTTTGAAGTTAATTTCCTCATCTGTTTGCCTCGGTTAATTTCTTATTCCTCACTTCATGATACAGATATCTATTTGACTCATTCGGCCAGCGTGCGTGAAATGTCAATTGTCAGCGTGAAATGTCAAGATTGTGACTAATATTTGAAATCATATTAGACATAGCAAAGTTCTAAGCACACACTATTGCCATGTCGACAGCAATACAAAATGCTCTGGATTTTTCAGATTTATCGTCATTGTGAAATTAGCACGAACAGTCCGAACTCCACCGTTAGGATGTATTGGTTTGAAGTGCTGCCACATCTCTGGTGGCTACTAAATCAAAGAATCGTCTTTCAAATTCTAGCATATCAATGCTTCTCCAGCTTCGCGAATTTTATGCGAAACACGACATTAATTTTTTGCCAACTTAAGCAGATGTTGACGATCAGTGTGATGATTTAGTTAAATGCGCGTAAAGTTTCATGATCTTGTGCTCAGTTGCGTTGTCAATGCAGCACGGATAACTAATTTCAGATATTAAGGTTCGTTCTTCATTTCTTTTTACATTACTACACTCAATTCATCCGTACTTTATTCTGACCTCTTTATACAAATCTCTGCTCAAATCCAATAAACTTGTTTTCGATTTGTCTTCACGTTTTCGAGCATTAATTTTCTTGTCACTGAGACAAAAATGGAATTTCTAAAACAACGAATATTCTTAAATCGTTCATCGAAAATTTCGGAAGATGATTTATTAATGTCAGATATCTTAATCTCAGACTGTGACTAATTTGATGCGAAGCGTAGCTGCATTCAAGGGGTTCCATTCTCACTGTAATTTGTAATGACTATGTAATATTACTTGTATAATACTGTGTAACCCTCGACATAGGCCCTAGCAAATGAAGAACTTCGTTTTTTTTTTCAGGGAGAACGGAAATTCGATGACTGGAAATGAACTGAGGGAAAGACAATTGTACAATGGAGCAGTCGATGACAGGAGACAAAGTCTCGAAGGAAGTTTGAATTAAGTGCTGATATAATGATATATTTTATGATGAATTTGTGCTTTACGTAATGTCGTATACCCCGAAATAAGGTTTATAATTCATTTATTGAAAATGTTCGTATAGTATTTATTTTATTGCTTTCACACTTCTTCAAACTTTAATTATTTGAAGATTTAGGAATGGATGGATAAATAAATATTGAGAATCTGTTCTGTTTTTAGGTGAAGGTAGTTTCATTGGGCATTTCACCGTGTTATACGACAAAGCCGAAACGATAAAATTCAGCAGTGTCAATACATATGAACGCCAATCATATATCTGATTTGAGTGTGTGCATATTAATTGAAGATCATGCACACAGATGCCATGACTAAAGTTTCCTGTGTATGTGCCTTTGTTTGACGAACGATACTTGCTCAGTGTAGTTGCATTGTGCAGTTACTTCTTATTGATGATGAACTGTCGATATTATTATTTCTTTTATTATCACTATTTTATCAATGAATTCTTATTCGATTAAGCAGTGTAACTCATGCAGATGAGGTATTCTTCGCAGTTCATTGTAACTTTAAATGATAGATGCGAAATGTTCGCTAAATGAGCTCATGAGCTGTTCAGCTGCCATTTTCGATGAAAGACTCGTTTCAGTCGAAGGACTCGGTTAGTTCAAACTGGTTACGAAAGTGTTATAATGATGTTGGAAAGTGATGGCACTTGTAAAACTGAAGATATTTTTGAGGGTAAGTTTTTTCATCGAGTAAATGCGCACTTAATGGTCACTGAAAACTGCTGCAATTTCCTTTAAGCTACTCAGAGTTAGGCGAAAATACCAATTATTATATAATCGTATGTTTTCAATCGACTCATTGTTGAAGCGTATTAAATGTCGTATAATATGAACTCTATTCTAATCTATATTTATATGTGTGATTTATTCGATCGCAGAGAGAATTAAAATCAAAATATAATGCTGAATAAATAATATACGAGTTGTTCAGTTCGCCTTTTATGTAGTGGACTAATTGTGGCAAAAATGAACGTTATTGTCATTCGCAATGATGTGAATCAAATGAATAAGCTAATGTGTGTTACTGACGTCACATGCATGTTAGACAAAACAGCTGCATTGAGCTTTTACGAAACACATAATGAAGTTGTTATTGCAACGTCGGCTAATTTACACACTTGAAGCGAAGCAGCACACGTTGTAGCTGAGTGTCGCATCATCAATCGCTCGTCGATGTTTTTATTTCAACACTTCCTTTTAGCAATATTTAGCCGAAATAACGAATACTTTCGCAAATGGAGACAATTCAACCAGTCATTCAAATTTGTTTATCGAACATATGCCTTTACTGCTTAACATCGATGACTGCTCACGCGTTTGTGAAAGGCCGAACGGCTTTCGTTCGATGTTTCAATTCATGCATCCATTTACAAAAAAGCATATCCACATCATCTTATGCCGCAGCTCTCGCGTCTTTGTGTATGTATTTGCTGCAATCGATACTGAAACGCCTAGAAAACACTGAACATTTACTCATAGTATGACTATATCAACACAGCTCAGCATCTGCACCATAGCTGGCTGGCGAGTAGTTATGCATTCAACTTGCCTTCAATATTCAACTTCCCCTATGGTTGACGTCCCTAATCAATTCGCATCCCTAAAAAACACCAATCATTGGTGTTGTTTGATGATTCTTTTGGAATACTTCTTGAGAGTTCTGCATCTGATGCATTTCGATTAAGCATATGTTCATGTTTACTAACTCGCATTTTGTTTATCTTTTTTTCGTTGGTTTCACCAATATTATCTCCTTTTTCGCGCTCGGCCGCACTCACAACTGACATTGTAGCTGTTACGAACGGCCATTACGAATAACACATTCTGACAGTTACTTCTTTTAGTATGTAAAAAAGAAGTAACTGCCAGGATGTGTTATTTGCCATAGCCGTTTTTTCAGTTCCAATTAAGTTACAATATTGAAAATATACTAGTTTTTTTTTGAAATTCTCGTGATACTACATTTAACATAGTGTTGGAGTGAAATTTATAGATTTGTTTTGAGCATGATAGATATGGAGAAGTCGAACTTTTTGTTCATAATTCTGACCATAATTGGATTGGCTTTATTTTGTATGCAATATTTGATTGCATACTGCTATCCAAACTAATTTCTATTGACATTAACCACAAACCAGTAATGACAGAAAAACGAGTTATGTGAATGAATGCTGAATGATTAACATTGTATCGAGTTGAAGCTATCATGCATTGATTTCCACTGTTATTTCAGCTTAATTCATATTTATTATCCGTCTTT